TCATTCCAAAGTTCTGTGTACTTCCCAAGATATGCTGAAATCAATTCCAAAATTGACCTATATTTTTTTACTCGACATTAGCTTGGGCCCATGGTCATTCACATATATACAGACGATGTTTGAACTGCAGCGAACAACTGCATAATATCTGCACAATCTTTGAACATTTTAAAGTTGATTTTTTATTCCAGATTGTAGGGTTAAGTTTGTAATAATTCCTTTAGCGAATAAATAATTATAAAACGTCTGCTTCAACAACTGCACAGCCATTTCGTTTATAAATGTGAAAGGAGTTATGATTGGACGGAATTTTCCCGAAATGCATTATAGACCTGATTTTTTAAAAGTTAGACCGCTAATATGTTGTTAGTAACTTAGTAAGACCATATTTATATATGAATAGATATGAATAGAAAGAAAAAAAAAATAGATACTTTGATTTAAAAGTATTTTATTCGCAAAATTAGTTACCCGATGTAAGGAGTTCCATACCCAAATTTCTCGAAGTCAGATTTAAACGATCCAAAGGCCTGTGATTTCTATTGAATAACTTTTGTATTGTAAAATTATATAATACAAATGGAAATTTACAGAATAAAAAAGGAAAATTTTTCAATAAAAGTGGAAAATTATACTATAGAAATAAAAAAAATTATACAATACAAATGGAAAATTATACAATACAAATGAAAAATATACAATACAAATGAAAAATTATAGAATACAAATAAAAATTATACAATACAAATGAAAAATTATAGAATACAAATGAAAAAATTATTCAATACAAATGAAAAATTATACAATACAAATGAAAAATTATACAATACAAATAAAAATTATAGAATGCAAATTGAAAATTATAGAATACAAATGAAAATTATACAAATAAACATTATAGAATACAAATGGAAAATTATACAATGCAAATGGAAAATTATAGTATATAAATGGAAAATTATACAATACAAATGGAAAAGATCGAATATTGCAACGTTTGACTTGCCATACTACATCAAAACTTACCACTGCATTCATTTTTGTCGCCAGATAAATCCCACACAGCAAGATTTTTTTTTTATAAACAAGCCACTGATCGCACTGCACTTGTCGTCATCGTGGTAAAATTTGACGCATTTTATGTGCTTGAAAGGCGGATCATGTAATTTTTTCACAGTGAAAAATGTATCTTATTATCAAACGGAATTTTATTTGCAAATTTTAGGTAGAGCATAAATACAAATCTGAAACCTTTGTTTAGTGCCATTATTTAAAAACTATCGAGAGAATGTATTGAATTAGTTCTACTGTGTTTTTGTGTACAGGGTTTGCATGTTTCACGCCGAGGTGCCTCATTAAGGTAGTACACAACACCCATGAAATCTGTTTTAACGCATATCTTATAAAGTACATTAGAAAAGTGAATAATTTCACTATAATGTCAATAATTAAGGATCTTTGTAAGAAAAATTATAAGCTGTGACATGTTTTCACCACATTTTGAAGAAAAATTAGAGACATCCTATATATTGGTCATTCGGGAGCCTACATTTTGGATCTTGTTTATGCCATCTACATGTACATGTCATATGACTGTTATTAAATGCAAATTAACTTTTGATCTATATATAGTAGAGACCTAATATTTGGACATATTTATACGGAGTCTCCATTCTTTTTGTACAATGAAGGTCAATGTCATATTAAGAGGTCAAAGGTCAGATATAGTGACGTCATCTACTGAATCTTTACTTTTTTGCATTTGATTTATCTGAACCGCCGGTTCAAATTTCCTGTTGATTGATTTTGTTGATTTTATTGTAAACATTGAATTATACATTTTCTTTAAATAGGACTTAAGGCGTGGCATATTTACATGTGAATTTTCAATTCCCGGGCCAGGTATATTCTATTTTTACATCACATTTTACTCAAATATATCGGTATCAAAATATTTTACTAAATTTTAGTACAAAAAGGTTGCCTTTACATGGCCGTAGGAACCGGGGGAGGGGGGCACGGGGGGCGTGCCCCCTAATTTTGCCGATATATAGATTACTATAGTAAACATAGATACTATAATTATGCTTGTGCCCCCTCAATAAAAACGTCTGATGACATTTTTTTTGCTTGTCAGGAAATTTTTGGTAGTGCCCCCTCAACTGTCAACTGAAAAATTTATGGCTGTGCCCCCCCCCCCCCAACTGAAATTGCTTCCTACGGACCTGCTTTATAAGCAGCATTACACAAGTTTACAAAAGATCAATTGGTTATTTTTAAATAATGCACAAGCTCAGGTCGGCTGTCTGATTTCACAATCTTCTTACATGGTCTGAAAGGCCATATATCAAATTATGTGGGCCAAAAACGTATGGTTGAATTTCTTTTATATTACATATAAAGAGAAATTTTGTATCTTAGAACAAAATGTCGAGGTTTGAACAAAATTGAATTTGAGGAAAAATGTGTACTTCCTTCATTCACCTTTCCGCAGGGGCATACACTTCATATATAGATCTTGACCATTTTTTGAATATTGAATATACATAACGGAAACATTCCTTAACATGAAAAGTGTTGCTGCTTTCCTGAAAGAGCATAGCTTGATAAATACATAAATACTTTGTAAAGGTCACACATATTTCGACTAGAACCAAATAACTTTAAATTCAAAGTAATAAAATGCGAATTCTATTATATAAACTACTTATTGTACATTATAGACCTGTGACTAAAGAGTTACTATTCACTCTCAAATAACTAGATTTATGACCTGCCTTTCAGTATTTCTCAGAAAATACCTCGATATTTTACACTATGACCAAAATTTTTCTTTATTAACAAAATATTACAAGTAACACATCTCTTTGGATAATGAATATAATGAAAATGGAATGGTGCTGCTCAATATGAATAAACAATATCAGAGATTTAAAGGGGCCTGGTCACAGTATACATTGCTGCTGTGGGTAAACAAGGCGCGCAGAATGCCTATAGCTTCAGATATATAAAAATCATAATCAATTTGTGAATCTATTATTTAGAGTAAAGTTCTCATTATTCAAATTTATGAAATTATGACAAACAAAACTTTTCTGAGGAAATTTTTTTCTGCAAAAATTATTCTGTTATAAAAAAAAAAATTAAGTGGTATTCGTGGGGTTCGAACCCCTAGCAATAAAAATCCTGAGTATCATTTTCCTCTGAGACTAAAACGCTAACCACTACGCTCTTGATCAATTGTAGCATTGAAACCATGTTTGTGATATGACCCTTGACTAAATGGACTTCAAGTATTTCTCGAAAAGATGCGAATTTTGTGTCATGAAAGTGTATTTTTAAGGTTTAGTAGGTCTTTGCTCCATGTTTTTGCTGACCAAAAAAAAATATTTTTTGGCAAACTTTGAGGATAAACTTTGAAAATATGGACCAAAGACCAACTAATATCGAAAAATTGTATTAGAGTATGAAAAAATGATCCTTTCTGTCCTCTTTAGTGTGTACATGCTATTTCATAGGCAAATAATTTCAATCTTAGTGAGATTTTTGCAAATTTTGGAGATTTTACAAAAAATATAGATGAAATATACAAAAGAAAATATTGCTTTAATTGAGGTTTAATTTGCACTTTCATGTTTGTTGCACTATAGGCATTGCGCTCGCCTTGTTGGCCCATCTTCATTAAATTTCTACTTCTATTCAAGAAATAACTTCAGTTTAATGAATTGAACTTAATGAAAATTCTTAAAAATCAATGACAATGAAATTTTACATAACATCACGTCAAACATCTGTGCAAACATGAGCACGAGCTCTGTTATTCCATAGACCTAAAGCAAAGCTTCAGGTCTATGGTTATTCTTAATGTTTACGATTTAACTGTGTGTGTTCAATTTGTTTACTCTTCATCTATCACTGCAGGGACGTAGCATCATTTTTGAAAGGGGGGGGGGCAGCCAGAGAAAAAAAAATCAACTTACCTGAAAAAAAAAACTTGACAAGCAAAAAAAAAAAAAAAAAAAGGAAAATTGAAAATTGTCCGCACTCGAAAATCCTATTTCCGGGGGGGGGGGGAGGGGGGAGGGTAGGTTCCAACTTCTTTCAGTACCAAATTTTATTCATACACTATTACAAAACCCTTATTCCCTTATTTGACTATTCTACAACAAAAATTGGGGGGGGGGGGGCAACCGGCCTTTCAATTAACATTTCAAATAGTAAGAAAAGTCTTTGGAAAAACCAGCCCCCCCCCCCCCCGTTGCTACATGCCTGCACTGAGCACGAACTGACAATACTGATGAGTTGAATTTGCTTTCTCACATATCTACTCTGAATTTTCTGGATTAAAGTTTTGATGATTTTTCACTAATACACAACAATTTTTCCATTTTCTTAGATATTAAGGATAACGTTTATCAGTGAAAGTGTGTGTCAATCAAACGCGTCCTGAAATCCATTGTTTTAATAATTTCCCGATAAAAGAAGTTTCTAAATAAGCTTTTTTAACATTTTGGTGTGAAATGCTCAAGCAACATAAAAGTCACGACATTATACTGAACATTTTATAAAATGTTAACTTAATAATTTGTGTCCAAGCCCCTTTAACAACCGTCACAAATGCTTTATTATTGAGTGAAGATTCAAAGTCTTTTTAAGTAATAACAACGCCACAGTTAGTTATAGGCTCTATAATATGAAACAATCTCCATGTAGGGTTGAATTAGTTTTTTTTTTTTTTTTTTTAGAAATTAATATGATCCCTGGGGTTCACACCTGGGTAAATGGTGACGCAAGGGGCCCAGCAACAATGACTCTTATCTTAATGGAGAGTAGAAAGGTTACAAAAATTAGTGATTTTTATATGCAAGCATCCATATGTAGTGTATAGTAAATATTTAAGTGTATTTAAATCATGTTCCTTAAAGTCAGGGTGGAACCACAACATGTGGTCAAGTTTTACACGAGAATATATACAAGTATATATAGGGAAAAATCCCAGAATGGCCAAAATTATAGTCATTTATATGTACGCATTTCGACGAAGTTCATATTCAGGTACATGTATATTTTAAACATGTATCATCTGAGAGTAGACTTATCTGTTTTTCCGTTATTCCGCTTTTTTTCCCCGACAGTTGAAAGTATAATTCTGTTTGCTGTGATTGCAGATATACGCTTGAGTGTTATAAAATGGAGAGAGTAAATTTTCATTGGTCGTAATAAGAAGTCGGTAGAAAAAATACGAAATACTTGTAATACTTAAGCCACTTGCCTATACTTGACATTTCCAATTATACAAATTAAAACAAACATATAAAAACTACTCTGCAGAATCATCGAGGAGTCGTAGATCTGGTGATCTACATATGAGTACCATGCATTTTTATACGGTAAGTCATTTTTTAACTTAAGAAAAGTTTGTAATTTTTTATCGCTCTTCACAATTGATCTTTTATTCTTTGCAGGTTGTTTTTTTCCTCTGTACATTTCTCCTCTGTGTTAATTGCAATGGTTGGTGGATGTGGGGCAAAAAAGGATCCAGCAGCGCATGTCCCAGAAGAGGTGTTTTCCGAAAACTGTTGTTTAGCTTCAAAATAATAGACTAAGTATAATTTGATGTTGAAATTGTCTATTTTGCCATCTATAGTGTGAAACATGACAATGGTAAAATTATTTGATGTTGATCATTATTCAATTTTTACCGATACTCAGCTTAATGGCAACAAATAAAATATCATAAAAAATGTTTACAAAAACTGAATTTTCAATGAAACGATATCTGGTTTTTACATGGAATACAGGAGTGATATAATGTATACAATTATTGGGGGGGGGGATAATTTGGGGGAAGGGGGTAGCATAAGAAAAATATCTATCAAATCAGCAATATTGTATTCTGAAACGTCCTTAGATGATCTAAACATTTTTTAAAAATGAATCAGTATATTAAGCAGAGAAGCTTATATTTTAAAAAGATAGATGAGCTAGCTCTTTCGCCATTTTTAAACACGGAAGTTTTCTGAACCATGGGTTTATTTTGTTTAATCGTTTAATTAATAATAGGTAAACAGCAGCCCAGAGATACCAGTCCCCTCACCCCACCCCTTTTGAGAATGGTCTTTTGCTGTAAATTTAGAGGGGACATTTTCATTCAAAGGCCTGTTGCCCCCTCTTCCACCTTTTGTGTACCCCGTCAACAATACCGTTTTTTTTCTTCTGCTGAAAACGAGAGTTACATGTTTCATTCAGCTTCTACATTTTGTATTATTTCGGTTTTATCTGTCACACCCCTTTCCTTTGTATAACTTAATCCCCACCCACGTTTTAATTATCATTCGGCAACAACGGTATTTATTTTGTTAACATGTAGCCCCCCCCCCCCATTTTTTCCTATTTTGACTGCTTATTTTTGTTTGAATGCATTTAGTATTATTATAATTATTTTGCATTTTCTTGCCCCCCCCCCTTTTAGAATTTTTGAGTTCAATATTTTTTTTCTGGCTTTCCCTTTAAAAATAAAAGACGATGCTACATGCATTGAGTGTTGAATTGATGGGGTTAGGAGTATCTTAATTTAGCATTGTGAACTTCAAGTATGTTTCACATCGGGAATATGACATCAGTGTACATAAATATATGTCTTTTTATTCAATGTAGAGTCAGAAAAGTGCTTTAGGCATAATGTACATCTACGAATTGAAAAAAAAAACATTCCAGGACTAATGTGATACCGTTTTAAAGTATCACAAAAAAATTAAGAATTTTAATACACATTTTAGAAAACAACTTTAAGACTTGCACAATAAGCCTAAGTTTACTTTTTTTTAACTGCACAGTTTAGGCGACAAAAGTGAGATAATATTATTATGTTTTCAGATGATTTATGAAACCGACATGTTTATATAATTCCAGAATGCTGTACCGTGAATTCGATTTTACGCATTATATAAAATAAAAAAAATTATAAGTAGCAGATTTGATTGTGATTTTGCAGGCTATACTTTTGTGTTGGCTTTAACTAAACTAAATCATACTAATTCTTGACCTTTTAATACACGTAGAGGGAGCCCATCCGTATTATTTTGGTAATACCAACCTTGATTGCCTCCTTATGCTCCTATTAAGTCAAAGAGGCAAGCGCAGTGCGCCTTGGAGAGGACGTTGGGACCTTACACATCGTTTCATTTATTACAGAGGAAAATATTTTGAATTTTTTGGTAAGTGTTTTATCATATAAGTATTTTATTGCAAACGTTTTTAAAACACTGTCCTTTCTGACAGATTCTATTTTATCAAATAAATTCTGCAATGTGACTTGTTGTCATATTGCAGAGTTTATTTGATAAAATAAATACATGTATGTCAGAAAGGACAGTACAGAAGAATAGGGAAAATCCCACAGCTATATAGAAGACAACTTTGCAGACAATCTTGCAACAAAATAAGACAAGTTATAGATGAAAAAAGCCAATTATTTGCACAAAGAGGGGACTTGTCAAACATTTTTATTAAATTCCTGCAGTCGCATGCTTTTTCGGGAAAAATTAATGTTTCTAGATTTTTTTGTCAACAATATTTTGGAATAACGTATAGGTTCACATGAATTTTTATGACAAAAAGTAGCATTAATATGTGAGAAACTGAATACTCCTAGATTAACAATTCTTGGTTTTCTCCGACAAGATGATTCCTCTGTAAGAATTGGTTATAACCGAGTTGGTGGACAGCGATGTAGAGGTGGTATCGAAGGTTCCCCCGCTGGCTACACCGAACTCAGTTTGGAATGTATCGAACGCTGTACCAATCGATACAGAGCTAGGTTCGGAAACTACCACCTCCTTGAAAACAACTGTAACAGCTTCGTGAACCGACTCTCTGACGTACTCTGTAGAAGAGGTACACAGTGTCCCTCGTGGTGTGGCTGATTTCAACCCTTAAAGATTCAATGGATAGATATGATAAATTGACTGGCTGAATGTAACAATTCACACAAAAATTTTCTAAATTTCTCACACATAGATAAACTGTTCTGTATATATATATATATATTGTTTTGCGTAGCTTTGTAAAGCATGGCACACGCTTACCAGTAGATCACTCTTTGCGGTGTCTGTCTGTCTCTTCCAACTACATCGCTAAAGATATACATAACAGTTAGATTCACAAAGTACCTGATTTTTTTTTACTGAGTTCAGGTTCAAAACCGTGGTTTGACCAAAAACGCGCTGTAATATAATGTGTTGGGATCCATCTGATTATATACCGATCCAAGCATATTTCAGAATCTTGTAAATGGACAAATCATATAAGCAAAACATATCAGAATACAAAAATTGAAGTTATTTTACTTCTACAGATTTGAATTTCTCTTTATTGTCTAACTAAGAGTGACATGAGCACCATCATATCAAGAAGGAAACATACTCATAACCTTTATTGAAGCTCCAAAGAATTGAAAGTGATCCGTACTGATCATATAGCAGACCTTAGTGTTTTAACTTCGAGTCTTTAAAATTTTGTTTTGCTATCTTTGGATGCCCATATTGCATATCTGTCTTCATTCATTTCGAACTCTTAAATTTGCACTGTAAGTCTTCATTAAACAAATATGATTTGTTAGGAAAAAAAGAGTTGCAATTTCTAAAATAGACATGGACCAATTGTCCTGTGATAATTCTCGCATCTTTTCTATAAGAACTTCCCGATTGCTCTCCTCTGTAATTATGTAACGTGTATAGTAAACACAAACACTATATTAAGATGTATATATCAGGCTCAGCTTAATCCTATTTGAAAAAGGCTTTAGATAACTTACAAAATTTAACAACCTTTGATAACTTATAATTTTTTTTGGGATGTGGCTAATGGGTCTTTAATTTTAGTATTTCATACAATAAATTCATTACCAGCCTGAAACTGAAGAATATAATGAAGTATAAATTCTATTTAAATATTTTTTGTGTTAAAAAAAATGAATTTTGGCCCTCATTTGGCCTCCTAGATAAAATAAAAATCTGATGTACAGGACACACTGGATCAAATTCTAAAATAACGATTTGGTTACTGCGCAAAATATGAAAGGGGTTACTGGGAACATGTCTTTTATAGAATGTTTTTAGCACCAAATCCGCCTCCTCCATGCAAATGAAAGATAAGAAACCTTATTGCACATGTACAGGACATCGCCAATTATATTCCTAAACGTGATTGTGATTATGTCAGAGGAGTGTTGGGAACATGTTTTTTGTCGAAACAAGTCGATTTTTTAACCCCATCAACCCCAAGGTCAAAAATGAAAATTTTGATACCTTATTGCACAGCTACAGGACACCAAAAAGATGAATTGGTAACTGCTGGAGATTTTGTAAGAAAAAAAAGTTTTTCGACCTCAATTTGTACCCAGGGTGAAAATAACCTTATTTTACATCTGCAAGACAATACCAATCATATTCACAATATGATTTGTCTACTGTTTAAAATGTAAGAGGAGTTCTGGGAACCAGGTTTCCGTAGAAAAACCTATTTTTTCGACCCATTTACCCTAAGGTCAAAATAAAAATTCTGAAACCTTACTTCACATCTACAGGATATCATCTATCATACTCCGAAAGATAATTTGCTTCTGCTTACAAGGTTAGAAGACTTTGAGGAAGAAGATTTTGAAAAAGAAAACGGTATATGTTCGGTCACCATTTGGCCCTCAGGTTATAAAATGAAATTGCACATCTACATGACACCACCTATCATATTCTAAGGGATGTATTGGCTACCGCTCAAAATTTTAGAGGAGTTTGAGTAAGAATTTTTTTTAGGGAAAACTTGGTTTTTCAACACCCAATTGGCCCTCAGGGTGAAAATGAAAATTCTTAATCCTTATTGGCTACTTCTTAAAATTAAAGAGGAGTTTGAGGAAGACGATTTTGTAGAAAACCATTCTTTTATGACTCCAACTGGGTTAACAGCAAAATTTTAAAACCTTACTGCACATCTACACACATACCGGTAACAATCATATTCCAAAAGCTTAATTAACTATTGCTTAAAATGTCAGAGGAGTTTGAGGAAGAGGAGAGTGTGACAGACGGACGGACCAAGATAACAACAATATACCCGAAATGTCTTATGTATTATTACATTTTATCTGTTATTTTTCATCCTTTTTTAAAACTGTAAAACTCTTCCCACTGCAGCAGTACAATATTATTCATATTTAATTTTCTTTGCTGATGAGGATTTTTTTTTAAATTGAAGAGTATGAGTTTTATGCCTCCACTTATTGACAATTTCCTATTTGCTATTTTGTTCATTTGCATAATTACTCTACATTTTATGCAGTAACAAGGCGTATTGATATTGATGGAGTACAATAAGAGAATGACCGTTTGCTTAGACAAAGAACAGAAAAACTGGTAAATCTAACTGGAAAAAAAATATTCGTCCTCAACAACGATTTTAATCTATCCCGTATATTATACAAAACTTCCTTGAATTTTATTTTTTATCACAAACATACCCCATTCGTGGACATTTATCGCAGTAGGGGTATCACACGGAAAAGATACAAAAGATACATACATGTAAATGGTTCTTGCAGCCATAAAATGATCTAAATAATTATCATAATTATGCATTACATATCTTATGTTAAAATTTCTGTACATTACATGTATTTGTTATTGCGACGTAGACCCGTTGTCTTTGGCTTTTAAACCTTTGCATTAAAAAAACTGATACTTAGTTGTGCTGGATTTTCATTGGACGTGTGAAAAAGTCGGAAGAAAAAAAAGTTATATTTTCAACATTTGTGACACTTCAAATTACAACTAAACTAACGGTTTCAATTTTGGAGCCTCAGAAAAACCGCAATAAGCTTCAGACCCGGATGTTTGGCGAAGACGTAGTTTGGTGATCTTCAGATTTAAACAAAATGAGATTTTATTTGGTAAGTCATTTGAAACGCAAGTAATGTTATCTTTAATTTTCATATTTAAATAAATTAAATACATTTTTTCAGATTTCCTTTCTGCTGTACTTGTGGACATTATTCTTCCCTGTTGATAGCTGGTGGTTTGTGAGTAGCGGGAACGACAAAGGATGTCCAAGAAGAGGTAGGTGATCTCATGATAATATTTTTATTTTGTTGTTAAGGAAAAAAACGTTAAAGGAACTTAACATTCGATGTGTCCTGTTGTGTTTTCTTTTTTATTAAATTTGTAAATGAAATGCAGTGAAAGTTTTCAAACACAATATAGTTTCAAGGAAGTGAATACAAAGGTTACTTTTGATAGTTGTCCATACAAATGATTTAAAACAATTTATTCTGACACAGCTATACTTTCTTTGAGCATAGGAAAGATTATCAAATATCGGTTCACTAGATTATATATATATATATATATATATATATATATATATATATATATATATATATATATATATATATATATATAATTTTTTTTTTGACGCACTCCCTTCCTTTCGGTGTCATTGAAGTATTTTGGACATTCACAAGACAGCTTTCTTATCAAAGCTTGAGTTTCTTTATTGCACTGTCTTTCTATATATATATATAATAATAATTGTTTGTGGGCTTTACTGCAAACTCTGAATAACTAGTCATTTTACTTTTTACCTTTAAGAGTCTGAACTTAAAATATCCCTTAACCTAACTCCAAATATACAAATAAAATATACCTATATGTATTAAAGCACGAACGTCAATGAAAATTAAATGTGTATAATTTGTTATGCAGACATTATTTAGTCTTTTTAAAAAAAATCTTATGCCAAGTCCACTTTATCAAAACATCAGACTGAAACAAAAGCGTAAAAATATTGCCACATGTACCTGTTTTACAGTATACACTTATTTCATGACTACGAGGGGAACAGTCAAACTGTTGTCCCGAGGTAATGGGGAAGACCTGGGAAACTGTTGCCCGAGGCCGAAGGCAAGATTGATCAATGTGGGAAGTGAGGGGATTGAGGGTAGGGTGTTTGCCGTTCCCTTCCCAGACAACGTAATATATGCTTTGAAACAACCCATTATTATCGTTTGATTAACTGTTAAGCTTAATATTTATATCGCAAAAGAACTTCCATATACTGTCCTAGTGTAAAAGTAAGCCGTCGATTACAAGGTAAGTAAATTTACGAGATCCATTTTTATTGAAAAAGCATCTGTCACTGATGTCAAAAAACCTGGACTATAATTCATCGTGGGGAATGGTTGTATATAGAGTTGAAAAGTCGTTGATGTTATTAATTTTGGTAAAATTTAGTGATTTCAAATTTTCCAAAAGTTCCTTGGAATTTTTAAGTATCCACATCTGGTTTAATCACTTCTCGAATATATTGTTGCACAGTACTCCTGAAGTTTCTCCTTCACTACTGTTAATATTTTAGTGAGGAGTAAAGAAAGAGGCTAGGTAGAACATTTTCTGGAACCCGCCATGTATCAGAATTTGTAAGCAACTCGATAAACTTCATTATATTGGGTCGTCCATAAATGTTTTCAAATTTTTTTTCTTAACTTAGTATAAAAATTACGAATCAAAACAAAATGGTATTCATTCTACAATTTCGTTTCATATACAAGTTATACATTTTCAGTTTGCTCATATCTGCCAGACACAATGCCAAAATATGTAAAGATATTCTGAGTCCGTTTAACGCTAGCAGGTACATGTAAAACTAGTCCATATTGTGAAGCTTATCTGAGTCTTCTTAATGCTTACAGGTAGTGCTAGTCCATTCTACTTTGGTGTTACAGACCTCTCATGCTTGAACGGCAAAAAGAAAAGAAGCGCACCCGCAAGAGGAGTATGGGACTATACCCATCGTTTTATCTACTACAGAGGGTACTATTTTGAATTTTTTGGTGAGTTTTTTTTTAAATTAATGAACAATTTTACTAGGAAAACGAGCCAAACCATAAGAAGATACAGTAGATAACGACCATTAAAAAAAGATATAGTGAATTTTTGTTTAAATGTATGTCAAGGGCAATTTTTAGATCATTAAAACATTTTTTTTTCTAAATGTGACCAAGAGAAATTGCATAAGTCGGTTTCCGTTTTACAAATTTATTAAAACTCCAAAAACTTATAACAAAATCAGCAAGGTCGTGAGTCGGTGATTCGAGCGTCTTGGCCGTCGCTTTCCAACTGCCAAATATTCTAACATGAAATGATATACAGTGTAAAGATACAAAGGATACAAAGGAATATTTTAACAATAGAATTAATGGAAGGGAGAAAAATACAAATAGATATCAATTAACGGCTTAATTAAATAAACAAAATGTCACTTTAATTGTTCAGATGAAAGTCCCTCAAAGGACATGAAGGAGAAGGTGCTATGTCCTTGGGGTACATAAATATCAATAATTAACACTTCAGTTTTAAACAATGTCAGTCTCAGAAATGGCAACAATAAATACTCTCAGACTAAAGCCCAACATCCCCCTTTCAAATCAAAATCGTCCTCCCCAAAAATTCAAACAGAAAAGAATTAACAGAAGATAAGTAAGCTAAGAGCACAAATACATAATAAGCATTAAAATAACCCCCTCCTTCTCTCTCTAATATAGGTAACATTAAACATGACATATTTTAACTATGTAGAGAGCATATCACAAAAGGACCAAACGTATGAAGTTTTCATCTCATCAGTACTTTTGTGTGTTATGGTTCAGTATGTTTAAGGAGGGGGCTATTTTAATGCTTATTATGTATGTGTGTGTGATTAAGATAAAGAAAATTTTCACCCCATAAAAAGCCAAAAATTAGCATTGTAATTAGCTGAAAAAAACTATGTTCGTGCATTCAAGAAAGATTGTATGATAAAAACCGATGCCGATAATATCATTCTTAGTAAATTATTATCCTAATGTATTCGTCTTTGTATTATATACCACAAATTTTCATTTGAAAATAAAGTTTATTGGTTTGAATTGATATGTACACTTTTAAAAATTATCGAATTTTTAATTTAGTCGATGACAGTTTGAACTCAATCTATGAATTTATGTTATATAGTCAAAAAATTACTTAACGAATAAAACAGAAATACTTCTCAAATGTAATTCATGGAACAGAAGACATGTATGTCTGGGAATGTGTTTAGTTGTTGATTAGACTAAAGTATCCCTATTTCTTTTCCGCCTAGTTGGGTCCTTTACAAGGATTGGAAGTAGTCGTCTTGCTGGATCAAGGTGCAGAGGAGGAATAGAAAGATCTCCAGCTGGATACAGCTATCTAAGTTTGGATTGTATCAAACGTTGTGCTAGGCGATATCGATATAAGTACGGCCTGTACAACGTCGTTTTGAACAACTGTCACAACTTCGCTAACAGAATGTCCGAGGTTTTGTGCAGAAGAGGTTACCAGTGCCCGTCATGGTGCAATTAAATTCAAGCCCGAGATAAGATGATCAGATAAGCAAATCTGATATGAAAAAACTGTTCTTATATGCTTTAAAAGACATTGGTCTGTTTATAAAATAAATGTAACATATAGCACAGATTAATACGCTTATAACGAAGTGCAAGGAACGAACAATTTGGCTTCGTTCTAAGCATAATTCATTATATCTATATATTAAGTTAACGATATGTGTTGAAGTAAGTCTTGGGAAACGAAAATCACTTCGTTATAAGCGTCAATTCATCATAATCGTGTTCGCTATAAGCGCGTTTTACTGTATTAAAGAGAAGGATTTTAAGGAATTAAAATTCAGAAAAAAAGGGGGCTGAAGAATTTCTTACTGTTTCAATCTTATATATGTTTCCATAAATGTAACTTACTTTCTTTTTTCTCTGTGTACTAAGAACCACTCAGATGATGGTTACATCTGGTGCTATGTAATTCTAAATATTAAATAATAAAACTTTTTTTTCAGAATTTAAATATTTTAATGTATATTTCACTTGCTCTATTCGATTTATTCAGATCTATAATTATAGACAAATGATGAGTGAAGGGGTTATAATGATTTTTCGTATCATCTGTAGCTTATAATGCATACATTCCCTGTTACTGAAAAGTGATGAGAGTAACTTGAATTTCGATACTTTAATAAACTTTCTACTTGTATAATATTTAGTTATATAGTGGAAATTCAATGTTTCGTATTTGAATATGGAATTTATTCTTTTCTGCATTCACCGGTTGCATTCATTTGTATAATAAAACTTTCTCCAAATTAAATGGAACTTCGATTCTATATCTTCAATTAACTAACGGGCGTCATGGAATGTGTCTGTATTGCTTATGTTGTTCAAAATACCATTTTCATTGAAAAACGCTGTTCATTTCTAAAATAAATCTTTAAAAACCCAAAGACATCAATTGTTCAATTATAGTAATGAAATTTTATATAACCTTTTTTGTGGTAAATAATGCACACGCAAAAGAGATGTCAAATTTCAAAATCTTAAAAACATTTTAACCCTCTGACTGCAGGAAGGACATATATACACGTACATGTATAATAAGACCATGTTTACTGAAAAACATTGTTCTGTCAATGATATCAAAAAGCCTGGACTTTAATTTATCGTGGGGAATAACTGGAATTATTATCAGACCATGATATATGCATAAACATGCAACAGGATGAATGGTGTATGATAGACGAATGTATGCAAAAATAACCTCATGTTACATTAATGTATAATTTTACCATTTTAAATTGACTTGTAGATTCCAAGGCTCCTCAGCCTTGGCTATATGGCCATATATATATATATATATATATATATATATATATATATATATATATATATATATATATATATATATATATTGGAGTAATGAAAATATTTAAAAAAAAAGCGTTGCATGTTAATTCGACATAAGCACCATCATTTCATGAAGGAATCAACATTTATTGAAGCTGCACATTAAGTTGAAAGTGATCTGTACCGATCATATAGCAGGCGCCTTTATGTTTGAACTTCGAGTCTTTATAATATTGTTTTGTTATCTTTGGATGTACATATTGCATATTTTTCTTCATTCATTTCGATCTCTTAAATTTAGACTGTAAGTCTTGATTAAAAAAAATAATTTGTAAGGAGGAGGAGAGTTGCACTTCTAAAATAGGTATAGACGAATTGTCCTTTGATAAATCTCGCATTTTTCTACAAAAACTTCCTGATTGTTCTCCTCTGTAATTATGTAACATGCAGTAAACACAATAACTAAAGTAAGATGTATATATCATACTCGGCTTTATCCTATTTGAAAAAGGAATGCATGCATGCTTTGTTAACTTGCAAAATTTGACAACTCTTGATAACTTGCATAATTTTTGAGCATGTGGCTAATGGGTCTTTCATATTAGTATTTTATACAATAAATTCAAGTCTGAAACTAAAGAATATAACTAAGCATAATTTCTGTTAAAAAGGTTTCAGAAAGAAGTTTTTGTGTATTTAAAAAAAAAAAAAAATCGGCCCTCAATTTGTTTCCTGGGTGACACACCGAATCATATTCTAAAATAATGATTTGACTGCTGCGTAAAATGTAGGAGGGGTTACGTGAGCATGTCTTTTGTAGAATGTTTAAGTACCAAATTTATTTCCCCATAGAAATGAAATATTAGAAATCTTATTGCACATGTATAGGTCAACACCAATCATATTCAAAAAAATAAATTTGCCGATAAAAGAGGAGTTTTGGACCATGGTTTTTGTCGAACACATGTCGTTTTGTGAAAAATGAAAATTCTGAAACCTTATTGCACAAATACAGGGCACCAAAAGATGAAATGGCTATTTCCTGAGTTTAGGGAAGAAGATCTTGTAGAATAAATTTTCTACCCCAATATGCACACGGGGTGAAAATAACCTTTTTTCACATCTGTAGGACATCGCCAATCACATTCAAAAATTATTTAGATACTGTATAAAATGTAAGAGGAGCTCTGGAAACAAGATTTTCAAAGAAAATCCGAATTTTTAGATCCAAATTTGCTCCAAGTGTCAAAATTAAATTTAATCGTTATTTAGACTAAAGTATAATCCTTTTTTCCGCTTAGTTGGTTCCATTGCAAGGATTGGAAGTAGTTGTGTATCTTTTAAGTTTAGAGGAGGAATAGAAAGATCTCCAGCTGGATACAGCTACTGTCTGGGTTTTATCCAATGATGTGCTAGGCATTATCAACAAGAGTACGGCCAGTACAACATCGTTTTGAACAACTGTCACAACTTTGCTAACAGAATATCTTATGTTTTGTGCAGAAGAAGGTTACCAGTGCCCGACATGGTGCAACTAAATTCAAGCTTGAGATAAAATGATCAGATCAGCAAATCTAATATTCAGAAAAGAACTGTTCTTAACTGCTTCAAAAGACATTAGTCTGTTTATAAATACGAATGCAGAAGTATCATAGAAAGGGATTTAGAGGAATTAAAATTTAAGAAGAGAGGAAAACCGAAGTATATTTTTACTGTGTCAATCTAATATACGTTTCCATAAAAATGACTTTCTTTTTTCTCTGTGTACGAAGAACCATACAGAATGTGGTTACATTTGATATTACGTAATAACAGATATTTAAAATAAAACTTTTTTCAGAATTCAAATATTTTAATGTATTTTTGACTTGCTCTATTCGATTTCTTCGGATCTTTAATGCACAAATGCTGAGTGTATATTGATTTTACGTATCATCATTCCATAAGCATTAAATGCTTGTAAACTTTCTTTATTGAAAAAATATTTAGATCCACGCCTAGGCCATTGTACTAATTAATTTCGTCTAGGATGGTTATAACGTCACGTGGTCAGCTTAGCGAGTCAGTTGTATTTTGATACCCGCACGCTGACCACCGTTTACACGAGGCACGTCTAATTTGAAGACCCACCACCACCCCTTCGATCCTACCCCTCTTTTAATAATTAATATATGTGCCATTTTGTTTTAATGTGCCATCTTACTGCTAACTTTTTTCCTCCGAAGTTTTGATTGTCTTCTATATAGTACTTTACTCGTTTGGGGGGATCAGACATTTTTAGATTTTACGTAACTTAAAGTCATAGCTTGTGAGTCTGATTCCGCCTATTTTGTTGTAATATACCATTTTTTTGCTAACCTTGTCTTGTGATATTTTGATTGTCGTGTTTATAAGCACGGCCCATTTTGTTTTGATGTGCCATCTTTTTGCTTACTTTTTCTTGTGATGTTTTGTTTGTATTGTTTTATATGTACTTTTTTCTAGTCATTTTTCGGGGGATCAGACATTATCATATTCTACGTAACTTACAATCAGAGCTTGTGAATCTGATCCCCTTCTTGTGTGTTAAATTGTTTACATTTATACCATCATTTAAATAAATGACATAATTCATCTCTATGAATGTGTTTTATTTGTTTTGTACAAATTTAGCAAAAACTAGCTGCGGTTAGCTTGCCTAGTATTAGAAGACATAAAACATTTTAAGCTAGAATGAAAAATATATACAGAATATGATGGAGTGAAAACTTGTTCTTTTAGCACTATTATCAAAGACCTAAATATATTAAAACAAATGCCTTATTTATTTCATATGTTTTATTCGAGTTGGCAGGTATTGTCCACAGTGGTCTACACAACAGTGGGACAGCCGGCAAACTGGCATATCCCCAACATCAACAATTAAGTTGTGCCCTCCCTGACGGGAAAAGTAGCTCGCTGGGTTGACCCCAATCGTGCTACGGACACATTTCAACACAAATTATCTTTGATTATATCAATTATAATTAATTATATCAATTATATTACATAATTTTGCTTTAGAGTTACTCTATATAAGATATAATTTTCAAAGTCAACATCACATATAACAACATCAACTATCACATATATCAACATCAACCACAACAAGTCAAGAATATGAACAGTTCAATGGTTAAATTGAAGGTGACGATATCGCCAATTTGACCATTGTGAAGTATGGTCTTTCCCCGAACTCCTCGAAAGGATACTGTATTTGGCCCAAAATCATTAAAAAGGTCCTAAACGGAAATAACAGGCAATCCTGATCAACATCGTTGGTCTCCTTTAACGTCACCGCTAATTTCTGAAAAGACAAAAACAAAAAAACCCATCAGAAAAGAATCTCAATAACATTTCCATAACTGTCAATAAATATAGGTATAGCTCAATTATTTAAAACTATGTAGATGTACGAAAGGAGAAAGGATATACTAAACACCTAACACAAGGGTTGAGGTGGGATGGTATTTACAAATACAAAAATTAAATCAGATACTTTCATCACCTACCTTTCACTTTCATTCATGCATAAAAAGGGGGAGATAACTCGGAAACATAGTGACTAAGTACCGACACTGTATGGGTGGATAACTAAATTCCAACTTTACTCAGTCATCAGTTTCTCGCAAAATTAGAGCCGAATGATGACATTAATAATAGGGTAGAGCTTTGATAATGACGCATATTGTGAGACGAACTCAAATATGCGATATTATTATAATTTTGTTGTATTATGAAATGTATTATCGTCCTCTGAACTCCTTCCTTAGGACATCTTGTAACTTCTTGCTAAAATATGAATTTTATCAAATTAGTCCATACAAGGCATGATTTTATATATGTATTTTTATCACGTAATCATTATAAACCTCCGAGCATATATTACTTCGATCAAGGATTTTAAAGTTTGAATCTTGATATCCTCCTCCCGAAACACCAGAAATATAAATTCTTGTTTCATACAGCCATTTACATTTTAAGTGTACACTTTGGCGTTTTAAGAAAGTACTATTGACAAAGCAGAATACACGTTTGCTTTTAATTCATTTGGTCTTAATTCTCTTGGGAATTAATTGAATTTTCAACTTTCACAATATGACAAATTATTCGGTTTCAATTTTATGTCACAAATTTAAGATTGTTAATACTCATTTCAAAGTCAAATCGTTAATGGGAAAATTGTCTCAAGAAACCAAACACACAACGTTTGCTGTTCTTTTATCAACTAAAGACAAGCTTCGCGACTTGTATTCCCTAAATGCAGTTGGACTGCAAAAAGTTTTTTTTACATTGCATTAAAGCTTGTTTGCATTCAAAGAACTCATTTTGTCAGTGTTTGAAATTGAATGTAACATTTTTAAATTCATCCGCAATTATTCTTTATTAATTGAGATACTAACATACATATGGACGGTACTATTTTGTGAATGTTCATTCATAAGTTAACTTTATCCATAAAATGGCCCTGTTCATATACCAATTAACTGACCAATTACCAATGTCCCATTTTAAACATCATACATAGAGTATAGAATTAGTGTTTTCATTTCCTATAAAAAGTTTCCTCGGAGAC